TTGGCCATAACTTTTGAACGGTAAGAGCTAGGGCTTTCATACGTCACATATTTATTCTTTGTTACAAGACCTTTCATAGGGTACCAACAACTTTGATCGTTTGACCTTGGAGTTTGACCTACTTGTAAAAAAAGTTTAATATTGGCAATAACTTTTGAACGGTAAGAGCAAGGACTTTCATACTTCACATATTTATTCTTTGTTACAAGACCTTTCATTGATACCAACAACCTTAGCCCTTTGAACTTGACCTCGGAGTTTGACCTACCTTTATAAAACGTAAACCTTGGCCATTATCTTTGAACAGCGGGTACTAGGGTTTTATATTTTGCATTAGTATTTCTTGTGAGAAAGCCTTAATTTGGCTATCAACATGTTTGATTTGCATTTGAGAAAATTCAAACTTCGCTATGTCGCAACATGAGGGCATCAGTGTATCACAAATACATCTTGTTTGTTAAAAAAAAAGCAGGGCTATCGATCCACACTTCAGGCGACTGAGCTTCAACCTTGCACATATACTTCATGGTGTTAATATTTCAGATGTACATTCCTTGTGACAAAAGCTTTCTTTGAGTAATATATCTGATCTCTTGATCTTGACCCTACAGTTAGACTCGCGTCTTCAAATTAACAAATTTTAAACTTGGCAACAATTTTTGAACGATTGTTGCAAGGGCTCTCATACTCTCTGTGTTTATTTCTCGTGACAAAATATTCCCTAGCTTTAGGGAACTAAGAATCTTAATTCGTTGACCTTGACCTTGAAATTTGATTTACTTTGAAAAACGTTAAACTTGACCATATCTTTTGAATGGTTAGTGCCAGGGCTTTCTCATTAGACGTGTATTTCTTGTACAAGACCCTCCTTTGGACATCAGAGTTTGATCCACTCTTACAAAACTGTTTACCTAGGTAATAACTTTTGCTAGGACTTTAATATCTCATAGATGATTTTTGTTGTCACAAGAAATTCCTATAGATAGAAGAATTACACTTTATGTGGACCTTGGTGTTTTACGTTACCTAATGTGTTCGAAAATTTACACCTTAATCAAAATGTTGAAATATACATATGATACGAATGTCAACTGGTGTAATAAATAGCCAATTAAAAGTTCTCTCACGGCACAGGGGTGGGGCATAAGTCGTCTGATCGTTATCAACAACAATTTTAAGTTCCTATGTTATTAATTTCGTAACCAATGAGAATCTACTGTATTCTCTCTGCCTGTTTGAAAGTCCAAAGATAGGGTAAAATACTCATATCAACATTTGACTCTTTATCCTTGACCTTGGTGTTTTACCTACTAAATGTGTTTGAAAAACTTTAACCTTAATCAAAAGTTTGAAATTAGTGTTATGCTTTTCATGCCCCCGTAAACGAAGTTTCGGGGGGGGGGGGGGGGGGGGGGGGGTACAACCAAATTTGACCTTTTGACTCTTGACTTTGGCAAAAACTTTAACCATGTCCATAGCTTTTGATTAAGTGGAGCTATGACTTTCATATTTCACATGTGTATTTCTTGTGTCAAGACCTTTGATTGGTACAACCAAATTTGACCTTTTGACCTTCATATACATATATTCTTTGTGGGAAGACCTTTCATTGGAGACTTACACTTTGATCTTTTGACCTTGACCGTGGAGATTTCTGTACTTATGAAAAAACTTCTAACCTTAGCAATAACTTTTGAAAGGTAAGGGCTAGTGCTGTCATACTTCACATATGTAATTCTTGTGAGAAGATCCTTCATGAATACCAAGAACTTTGACCCTTTGACCTTGGAGTTTGACCTTCTTTCAAAAAGCAAACCTTGACCATAACTTTTAAAGGGTTAAGGCTACTTAATATATTTAATCCTTGTGGCAAGACCTTTCATTTGATATCAAAAACTTTTACCCTTTGAGTTTGACCTTGGAGGTTGACCTACTTTTTAAATTTTTTTTATATTGGTTATAACTTTTGAACTGTTAGAGCTAGGGCTTTGTTACTATGTAAAAAACTTTAACATTGGGCATAACTTTTGAACGCCAAGGGCTAGTGCTCTCATACTTCACATTTGTAATCCTCGGATACCAAGAACGTTGACCCTTTGACAGTGACCTTGGAGTTTGACTTACTTTTAAAAAACAAACCTTGACCATAACTTTTGAAGGGTTAGGGCTAGTGCTTTCATACTTTTCATATTTAATCCTTGTGACAAGATCTTTCATTTGATATCCAGAATTTTGACTTTGACCTTGGAGTTTGACCTACTTTTTAAAATTTTTAACCTTGTTCATATCTTTTGAAGGATTAGGGCTAGAACTTCCATACTTCAAATATGTATTCTGTGTAGCAAGACCTTTCATTGGATACCAATTATCTTGACATTTTGACCTTGGAAATTTCCGTACTAATGAAAAATTTTAACCTTGACCTACTTTCATATTCATAATTGTGAGAATACCCTACTTCGGGTACCAATATATTAATTTTTTATTCAAAGTTGGACGAAAATGGAATTTAAAGTGTAAAATATTTGTACAGAATAATAAGGATTGTTTCAGAAGGGTAGAATTTTGAACGTCACAGAAGGTTTACAATTTCTTTATATTCTAGAAATTGCTATTTGCATCATTTGCAATGAAATTAGGTCCAAAAATATATACCAATCCAGGCATCTGTTTTTTGTTTGTATCATATGTCCTTAATCTTCTCTATGTTGCCATACGAGGGCTCAGTGTTTCACAAACACATCTTGTTCACATGTAGACATTTTTGGGTAGCAATAATCTTATATTTTTGAGCTCTTGACCCTGGAGTTTAACTTGCGTTTGAGAAACTGTAATCTTTGGGGTTAGTAGCCTGACGGGGTGTCGGTTTTTCACAAACACATCTTCTTTTTAAAGTAGTGGATATTATTATGCGTATTTCTGGGGAAAAAAGGACCACTCCATAATGGGTCCTGCTGTTCTTGAAAGCCAAAAATCTTTCAGGGGCTTATATCGAAATGCAATTTTATATTCCTAGTAAGGGTGTCTTAAAAAAATTACACCCAACCCAAGAAAGGATATTCAAATTGAGTGACTGTTACACACTAAGTTAAAATAAACGAATGATCAAACCAATATAAAATAAATGAATAATAACAAGGAATGCATTAATTAATGGATTAATCATTTAAATTATAGCTAAAAGAAATAAATGCATAGATAATAATTTAAAATTAAAGTTACAATATAATATCATAGAAGATTTTTTTTCGATAAAAAGGAAAACAAATTGAAAACACACACATCAAAATCTATCACCATGTTTCGGATATAGTATACTAGAAAGACGAAGATTATGTGTGAATAAACTTCCGAGTATGTATTGGTAAAAAATCTTTATCATATTTAGCTAGTCAGATATATGCGAGTATGGTTAAATTGACTCAGAGGAAATTTATGAATAACACAAAAATTTTGCATTCGATTTCGAAAATTGCAGTGAAGTACTTGTAATCTACTGCACATAGGCGTCAGAACCCGCGATAATTGGGGGTTGGGGGAGGGGGGGGGGCATTTTGTTTGGTAAAGAGAGACATGTAATATAGGCACTGGACATTATCCCTAAACGTTTTTTTTTTGTTCCCCCGCTTTCGCGAAACGGAAAGCGAGTGGACATTAAAATTTCATTCGTCTATCCGTCTGTATATCTGTCCGTCTGTCACAAAAACTTGAACCTTGGTCATAACTTTTGAATAAGAAGAGAAAGGTATTTCATATTAAACATGTGTATCGCCTGTGAAAAGACCTTTCTAAATATAGTATGATTTTGACCCCTTGACCTTGAATTTTGACCTACTTTTTAAAAAATCAAAAAAATAAAACATAACTTAGAATTGTCCATAACTTTTGAATGAGAAGATATAGGGCTTTCATATTATATATGTATATTACCTGTGATTAGATCTTTCCAAATACACTATAATTTTGACCTCGTGACCTTGACGTTTGACCTATGCATATACTTCTCATAAACTTTAACCTTGGTCATGACATTTGAATGAGAAGAGATAGGGCTTTCATATTAAAGGTGTATTGCTTCTGACAAGACCTTTCTTATTACACAATGACTTTTGATCTCGTGACCTTGTAGTTTGACTTACTTTTCAGAAATGTTAATTTTTGCCTGATAACTTCTGATTGAAAAAAAGATAGAGCTTTCATATTTGACATGTGCATTACCTGTGACATGAATATTTCCAAGCAGGCTATGATCTTGACCTTGACCTTCATGATTGACATTATTTTCAAAAAATCATCTTTCAAATAGGTGATAACTTCTGAATGACATATGATATCATATTTGACACAATATACCATATATAATGAATCTCACCCATAAAGACACAGAAAGCAGGGGACTACAATTCTTTGAATTTGCTTGTTTTAACCAGAAAGCTACAATTCTGCAGCTACCAGGGATTTAAATAGATTTTTTCAAAAAAGTTGTGTTTTGATGAACTATGTGAATAAAAATATTCTGTTCATCAATACTTCTTCTTAGATTTTATTCATTGGATGTACTATAATGTTGGTGGCTTTTCTTGAAAATGAAATTGATAATCTTAATCAGTATTTAATATAAGTGTACCTTGAAGTCCTTGATACATTTTTTGACCCCCCTCCCCCAAAGGAGTTGGTGTAAAGAGGTTTCTCTGAGGAACTATTCAATCTGTATGTTACTTATTTAGCTTAGTCCCACCTTATTGGGACCTGAACTATTTGTGACATTTACATGTATATGGCAGAGAATTTATTAAAATCAAATAGTTTTTCAAAAATAACTTACGAAAAAAAATATTTTCAAGAAATTAACAAAATTTTTGCATTGCTATCCACCACTTGAAATGCATGATAATTTTAGAGTGGAAGGCTTCAACACTTATTTATCATGTGCTTTCAAATACGTCATCACCTCATATGCTCAAAACAAAATTCACTTTATAAATATATACAAAAGCAAGTGATCTTGTGTATCATTTTAATTTCCAGTAAATAATACTTCCATTATAATGTACATACATGTATAATCATTTCATATCACCTTTCAGTGTGTCAACATGTACTTACAAATGTCAAATACAAGAAACATTTCATTTATATTAGTTATAGTTTCTCTTTTTATAATTGATCTAATTATACAGATTTTTTATTTGATGCTTATATTAATACATTTTAAGAGTTTAAAAAATTACACTCAGATGTTGCTTTATACCTTTCATAAAAAGTTGATCACAACAATTTTTGGTAGAAAAAATGGAAATTCAAACATTTTTTAAATATATAAAATAACTTTAAAAGTATGGACATGAAAAAAAAATATCAATTGTCAAAAATGTCTTCATAGCGGTCTAACTTTGTCATCGGTTATTCATGATGCTTAATTCCTCCTGCTCTCTCTTGTCTGTCATGGCTGCCAGTAGCTGTGTTAAGTAGTTCATGAATTCATTTCTCAGTGTTTCACCATCATCATCAATGTTTGTTTGTATCACATGAATCTTCTTAAATGTGTCAGCTACCACAAAAATAGAGACATTTTTAAATTAGGTAAAAAAAAACAACTTATTCTTATGTTAAGTTAAAATGAAAAATTTGATTTTACGTACACATTAAATTACAATAATTTCAAAGGCAAAGTTAATCAAATTAAATGTATTTCATGAATATTTGTAATAAACATATTTCGTTGCATGGATTTGACTCTACCATGACAGTTGGATGTTTGAATCTTAATTACTCCTAGATTCTTGCAATTCCATAGAAAATGCTGATTTAGAAATACCCTGATATTGATGAATACATGTATTTACTTACAAAGTACAGATCTTTCCCTTTCATTTGCCCCTGGTTTGTGATGTGCAAATATTATGCAGGCGCTTTCTTTAATATTTTGGTTTTCAACAAAATAGTTATACCTGAAATCCAAAAGTATTTTTATTTTCAATCAGTTTTCAAAATTTGTCTTGCACAAATTCATAGATCAATTTTGGAATTTGTATTTGGATTAAAAATTTACCAGTTTTCTAAGTCTTTATCATGATTGGGCTGGTCAGGGTTATATACAAATATCACTCCATTGGTATCTTTAGCAAGAGCTGACCAACAAGATTCAAATCTAAAAAACAAGAAGATTATTTAATGTAAAACACTGCTTATTCTAAATTTCATTCAAAAATTTAAAATTTCCGACACTGATTAAAAAAAAATCCCCCAAAACAATAGAAATTTCTCCAAATTTGAAGTATTATATTTCCTTTGATCTTAAATTATTTGGAATTATTTTTAAATTTGTAAGTGTTGGTTTTATTTGTAATTAATAACTGAATTCTATGTCTCTTTGTGTCCTTTGTCGATTAGTAAGATTCTCTGGTTTCCTTACTTTGGATCCCCACTGACGTCCCACATTTCCACATCCACTCCCTGTCTGCTGTTGGTCTGGGATTCAAACTCCAGAATTCTACAAAGTAGGATTATTGTTATAGTATCATATGTATATGCTTCTAACAGTTTATAAAGGTGCAATTAAAAAAAAAAATGATAGGTGTGATAAATAATGGTCAAGAGCAAGTATAGGATTTTTATGCAAAAGCATGAAACAATATAGAATATCATTTGTTGTATTAAGAGCCATTCTCTGTAATGACTTGGAATTTTATATAGGAGCTGTGGCACGCATAGTCTCAGAATTTCTCCAAACTCTCTATGATAAAAGTCATTGATACCCTAAACTGAAATCAGGCAAAAATTGGTTGCTATGTGTTATAGTTACCATGGCAACATGTCTTAAAGTTTGAAAATTGACAATTTTTACCATGCTTAGAGCCCCATAATTAACATTTGCGGCAAGGCAAACAATTGGCAATGACTGTTTCCAAAAGTTGAAGGCCTGTTGCCTCAAATGCATGATAAACAGGTTGGGTAAATCAACTATTACATACGTTACTATGGTAACAAAGTATTCAAAAGTAAAAAAAAATATTCATTGAATTTTATATAGTCATACACGTAAAAATAAAAAGCAATTATAGGATGAAATGTGACCAAATAATAGAGAAAAGAGCCTTGAAGCATAAACCAAGAACACATTATGATATTTCATTTTGGTTGGCAATGGTTGCCAGGGTTTTTATACAACAGAGAGCCTTCAAATTTACACTCTGTATGTTTAAATCTGATCCTATCTTTTAATAAAGCACATTTCCTCATAACTAATGATCAATTTTTAAAGATGTTGGTGTGGTCCTTATTTTCCCATTTAAAAAAATTCAGATTGGATTCTTTAAATAGAGTGTTGCTATGGAAATAAGCAGGAAAAAAATGCTTAAAAATCTGAAAAATATTTCGTTTCCTTGGATACGTACCCTCAAATGTAGATTCCCAAAACTTTTATGATTGATATTTATTAACAGCTAACCTGACTTTTAATTTTGACTATCATCCATTCTCTAACTGGATGCAAGAAGGTGGCACACAGGGTTTAATATTGATATTAAGTTCACAAAATCGAACATTTTCCCTTCTTGGTAACCATAGCAACAGTGTTGTTTTCTTCGTCAAGTTTTATCAATATATGATATTCAACTTCAGTTCTACCAGATAAGTACTATTCAAGGTGGGTCATATAATATGTTTCTTGATTAAATGGCAAGTTAATTCTTAATGCAGCAAAAAATAATTCACTTTTAACCACTTATACGTTGTCTCCATGGTAACACCGCAAAGTAGCAATTAATCCCAATTTTTCTTATGGTTTTAGTGTTGTAAGGTCCTAAGAATGCATGTTTGTCAGTCTTGAATTTCCATGTTTTTTCTCAAGACAGTAGCATTAACCCAATCTTACTTACTGATTTTGCTTGGTTACACTGTGTTACCATGGCAACCATAAAAGTTATTTATAGAATAATATTGCTTATGCCCATATACTTAAGGTTAAACATTTTCATTGTTTTTCTTAAGTCGTTGATTGAGTTTGAGCATGTAACACCTACAATTAGTGAATACGGAGTGTTTTTCAGCATATTTCAGCATTTTAAATGTATTCCAAATGTACCCTTGGTTACCACTTACTTAGAGATATATTCTAAACAGTTTCTTTGCGGTATAAGTGGCAACAAGGTTTCATGTTTTTGTGAGAATGGTTTGTTGACTTTTCCTAGTTTTTATTAAGCCTCAGTAAAGATTTAAAGGGGCTGAAAATCTCATTTTTTCAAACTTTTTCGGCTGTTACCATGGCAACCGAGACACATAACAACGAAATTTTGTTTGATATATGTTTCTGGTGTCAAGTACTAAGAATGGGTGAAGTTTCATCAAAATCGGTGACCATGCAACGAAGTTTAAGTGGTTACAGAGAATGGCTATTAACTTTTAGATTTAAAAAGCTAGGCCATGCTTTTGAGCATTTTAAAAATACTGCACAAGTGAAATATGTGTAATTGCATAGTTCTCCTTTTTATCAGTACATTTCTTCAAAGAAACAGTAATCCAAATCTACAATTAAAAGATGTTCTATTCCAATTTTTCTTGAATAAATTTTCTTGGATAAATAAATCGGAAAAATGTGGAATGGAAAAAAGGAGAAAATTCTAAATATTCATATTCCACTAGAAATAAAGATAATGGTGGATAGATTATAGTCACTGTTATAATTTACCTTACTCCCTGGGTAGGATGGTACTCTCCACTGCTTCCTTCTGTGGCGTCTGCTAGGAAATTGGACAATGCTGTCTTTCCTGCCTGCAAAATAAGTGTCAAAAATTATTTTTTCCTCTTCAAATGAAATTTTCAATGCATTTAATCTGTGTATTAAAAGTGTGTGTACGGGAGAGGAGAAAATGCAGTGGACCAGACCGGGATTCGAACCTGTGCCCCCTGAAACTCCGGTCAGGTGCTCTACCAACTGAGCTATCTGGCAACCGGCGATCAAACCCGGCTGACCGCCACAGTCCTCCCTCCTTAAAGGTCTTTGGCCCTCCAAAGACCCCAACCCAGGCTCATCCCTGGCAGGCCTCTCACCTGTCAGTTTCAGGGCATGGCACGGCACCAAATGTAACAGGAGAGGAGAAAATGCAGTGGACCAGACTGGGATTCGAACCCAGGCCCCCTGATACTCCAGTTAGGTGCTCTACCAACAGAACTATCTGGCCACCAGCGATCGAACCCGGCTGACCGCCACATGTGTATCACTGTGCATTTAAGAGCATAGTGGCTAGTAGCCTCTATCTAATGACATACAATCTTCAAAGATATGCTGACCTACTACAAGTGCTACACAAGGAAAATTTATGCTAGGTACCAGTATGGCCTCCTTAGTTACCTGGAACTTCAAATCAAACTAGATTTTAATAACAATATTACTGTAATCTACAACTGTGCAAATCAGATATAAATTTACTGCTATATATTTTCACTTAAACATGTTAAAATTCAACTCTTCCAAAAAAAATTACAAACAAATATTTTCAAAAATCTAACATGCAGAAGTTAATAGGTCATCTGTTCATTCAAAAGCTGCAGAATTGTAGTTCTCCAATAAATATAGTTTTTTTTTTCTATGCCACTGAAGCTCTGGTCTTCCATCCAAATCTTTTCAGGCTAGTGACATACAGTTCTGCAGCTATTATTCAATAGAGGGATATTCAACACCTACGTCTAACTGATAGGTAAGCTTTTACTATCTTAAATGCAGGCAATATAAAGTTACAATATAACCAGTCATTGTAAACATGTTAATATTTATATGTCAATCATATTCATTAAATGTCATCATAAAATGTTTTCTTTGTAGATTCTGACTCTAAATCAACTTAACAGTTTTAACTGATATTTGTAAATGTTTCATATATGTTTAAAAAAATTACAATGTATTACATGTACAAAATGTAAGCATCGTAAGTAATGTTACACTAAAAAAATTGTGGCGGTCAGCCGGGTTCGATCGCCTGTGGCCAGATAGCTCTGTTGGTAGAGCACCTGACCGGAGTTTCAGGGGGCCCGGTTTCGAATTCCAGTCTGGTCCACTGCATTTTCTACTCTCCCGTTACATTTGGTGCCGTGCCATGCCCTGGAACTGACAGGTGAGAGGCCTGCCAGGGATGAGCCTGGGTTTGGGTCTTTGGAGGGCCAAAGACCTTTAAGGAGGGAGGAATGTGGCGGTCATCCGGGTTTGATCGCCGGTGGCCAGATAGCTCGGTTGGTAGAGCACCTGACCGGAGTTTCAGGGGGCCCGGGTTCGAATCCCGGTCTGGTCCGCTGCATTTTCTCCTCTCCCGTTAAAATATAAACAGTTTATTATGAATGCTGCTAGAGCTATTTTGACATGAAGAAAAAATAAATCGACGTAGTTTTTCTTAAATATGTTTTATATAATTACCATACAGGGTCCTACGACGAGAATTTTAACTTTAAACATGATGATTTCACTTTTGAAGAAGGAATGCTAAGGAAGCTTTCACAGCGCCGCCTAGTGTTCATCTGTGTTGCAGAAGTGTTTGTAATGGGAATGAAAATGCTTATTTTATGAAAATGCTGTCTCCGTAAATCTCCGACCACCCATGCTGGTCGGAGTTCACGGAGACAGCCGAGCGTCTGGTTGAACGAGACTAATTTTAGAAACATAAAATGATCATAATAATGCTCAACTCTATATATTGAAATATTTATTTCATCATTCATACATTTCATGGGACGAATTTACTCACAGTAGTTACATTAAACATGTCAAGCTTAAAACACTTCATTAACTAGGATTTGCTTTTACGACATCAACAAGGAATTCCCATCAACAATCTAAATGTTGGTAGTGTTGATATCACGTGATCAGTGTGCAGGATCTGTCTTGCAGTCGTTTGGTATTTTTTGATGATTATCGACGAGAACTGTCATGATTTAAGAAATTTCATAGTGCAATGTGTTCTCTGAAAATGTAATAATGATTTTCACTCAATTTTACAGAGTAATATCTATTGGTCATTCATAACATGGCAATTTTAGCAATGCAGAAAAATACATGTGATGTAGAGATACTTTTAGCAGCTGATTTAGAGCTATTATGGTCAGAAAGTTGTATTTTGTCATTCTCTCTCTTTGCCTTTACTAAAATGCGAAAGAAATCAATCATCTTCCTATTTTGCTATTTTGGTATTGGCTCAATATTCGTTATTACGTTAGAAACAACGATGTTTGTAATGCCCTTTATATATCAGGTCCGGCACAATCTCTTGATTAAGCTATATAGCTTGATTTGGCTATATAGCTTTATTAAGCTATTCAGAATAGCTTTATTAAGCTATTTTATTAGACTTTTTCTCAAATGTGTTATTTTTTCAACGTGCAAAAAGTTGCACCTTGGTGCAGTGGAAGCTTGAACTCTTCTGAATACAAATGAATGCATGTAAAAGTCACTCACCAACTTGTGTCTCCTTGAGAGAATTTGTACTCAAAGTTTTGGGGCTATTGATGAGTGACCACACAGTTATTTCTTGAATGAAATTATAAAGGAGGTCAGTTATGGCCAACATGATAATTGATTGGTAACAGTTCCGCACAATGAGAAGCAATCGTACTTGCCCTCGCCTCAACACACACACACAGTTACTCAAACAATGGGAATTCATATTTTGCTTAAAAGTATTAAACAGCAGCAATGTTCAAACGTTCTATGATTTAGGTTGTATTTTTGATGATCCATAGTACATATATATGAATAGTCAGATATATGCGACTTTTTTTTTTTACTTCTTGCAAAAAACGTTTTTGTGAAAAACTGCATATAGCTTTATCAATCTATTTTTGAATAGCTTAATAAAGCTATATAGCTTTTTAAAGCTGTATAGCTTAATCAAGAGATTGTGCTGGACCTGTATATTTAATTTTTTGTATGCTCCTCTAATGCTGCTGTGTTTGGGGGGTATAATTTCTATAAGTAGTCCAGTTAGGCAATGATAAGGTTAAAAATTGTATTTACTTTTTTGAGTGTATGCACCAGCATACAGAAAATTCATGGGAATATTTTTTTCATTGAATAGATGAATTTTACATTCCTAAGAGTTATCTCCGTCGTTGGTGTAACGCTCATTTTTCCCACTTTGTCCTTTGTAAGTTACCTATTAATATTTTTAATCTTCAAACGTTATCGGACAATTTGGATCTGTAAATGTATTGCCAGAATATGGGGCAACATGTAAAATGTAATAAACATTTTCATACAGATTTTATTTCTGAGATACTGACCCTTAAAGTTGGTAAGGTTGTAGAGGGAAAACAGTGTCGTACGCCGGTTGACCCCGGATTGACCCTGCAAAGGGGAATAACTTTTGTAATTGTGAAAGTCATCTATACAGCCAGGCGTCTGTACGTAGGGCTGCACAATAATATCAATATTCTTGTGAGGATACATTTTTATCACAGCATATTTAATCTCAGTTACATATATACATTCTGCTGGTGATGAAAGATTTATGAAATAAGAAAAGATCATCTTTACTTTTGTTGAAAAATATTGCAGTATATTTCACTATCATTTAAAAATATATCAGTACTGTATAGGGGGAAATTCACTCGCGGTGTTAATATTCACTATATTCACGGTGTTGATGAAACCATGAATTCAAGAAACAGTGAATAAGTTTTCAATAGGTATAGATAAGGGAGGAGACTTTTATAATATACCAATTCCGCGAATTCAAGACACCGCGACAGTGTCAGAGAAGAGAAAAACGTGAAAATTACAACCCGTGAAATTAATTCCCTATACAGTATGTACATTGCAATATAAAATTCCCAGCTGATATCCAGCCCTACATGTATGTTATCAGAATTGAGATAACTTCACACTTTTCTATGTTTATATTTATAGGTAGTCTAAATAATGGGCAACTCCTCCTCTTCTGAACTGCCATTGGCAGGAGTTATCTGCCTTGCGGTGTTTGGGTACACAGCCTTAATCTTTATTATTGTGTTCATCAGATACATGTGTGTGGTGAGTATTAATTTTATTTGGTAAGTGAACGAACGTAAAACAGTAATTACTTACATCCTCTCAAAAAATAATTCCTTTGACATATTGCAATGTTTTTTTTTTTTTAACTTTAGAGACAGGGAAAGTGCCAAGATGTGGAGTGTGGAATGTGTGGGAAGGAGGGGGCGCCACAGTGTTCCGATTGCTGTATCAGCTGTTCTGAGTCATGTGGATGTAGTGCCCCTTCTGTCAATAACTGCCTTAACAATTGTTGTCCTAATAAAAAGGTCAGTCAATGCAGTTTGAGAGTAATTTTCAAGAGAATTCATTCACTGGTTTAATATGACAAATCCAAATATTCAATACATGTACAATTTCCTGTTCTTTAATATGTAGGTTTACTTAAACCTGTTTTTTTTTTTCCACAGCTTACTTGCCTGGATATTTTGCTTTGTCAGTGCTGTTTAGGAGAAAATAATTGCTTTACAAATGTAAGTATTAAACTATCCCCACTGTAAATACATAAGCAATGACAAATGATGAATTTAATAATAATTTAAGGGAAATGAGATTGTATTAAGTTGCACGAAAATTTATGAGAATATGGAATGAAGGGGTTCAGATTCTATGCCACTAAACAAAATGACAAAGCAAGAATGCATGATGAACTATGAACTTATTAAAATATGACTAACAAGTTTATTATAGTGAGTGGTATTAGATTAAAGCATGTTTTATAGGAGATATTTAGCTGAACTTTTGAAAATGATGCACATACATTTTTTTTTAAAGATAATTGTTGTTTTTATGCAAACCAGTTGTTTGTTGCTCGGTTTATTCAACTGTGTCGGTAAAAACTAAACCAAAATGAAACTGTTTGTTTTTTGCTGTACCAGTGGTGCAATCAGTGTGGTACTCTCCAATCACAAAACAATCCAACATGACCTTTGACCTCCTAGTTTGTATATGTGTAAAAAGTAAGTATGGTGTGTAGAACTAACCTGTCACTTGTATCTGCTTTCTTTTTTTGGCACTCCTTATACTCACATTAACACCTGTTATGTATCCTCTCAACTAGTCAACTTCTCAACTAGTAGTCACCTTCTCAACTAGTAGTCAACTTCAACCTGTAAACTTTTCAACTATGTACTAGTCATCTTTTTGGCATAACTTGATTAATAAAGGGCCAATACTTTGCCTCTTTAAAGAAAAAGGGGCACATACATGTATAGACACAGTGCTGAAAAAATTTTGTCCAGTGATAAATTTGCACATTTTATTTCACATTCATATACACATATTAAAATTTGCATATTTCAAAACTATCAAAATGATTTTTCTTAATTATCAAAGTTGTTTTTTTTTTTCCCTAAAAAAGGATGAAATAAAATGGGACAAGATATTTGCAATACATTATGTTAGATTTAATTTGTTACTAAAATCTTGAGTGAAAAAATGAGTGGAATGGAAACATAGTTTTCTATGATGTAAAAATAATGATAACTTAATTCTATGCTCTACTTTCTTGTCAATTAATAAGTTCTCTCTTTTAGCTCACTTTGCTAGATTAGACAAGTACATGAATGTTGTTATAGTTGTTTGTTGTGCAAATACTTATCTTATAATAGCATGGTTAGTTAGGTCCCAAAGATCAATGATATATAATTATATATACTTAGCAAATCTCTCTGCCAACTAAAATGTCATTGGCATACACTCTTTTTCATTTCTCCATTTTTATAAATTTTGTATTTAACAAATGTCTGTTAAGTATTTATCAGATGTCTATTTTTAAAAACAACCAAAAACAAAATCCCTTTAAAACACTTGATCTACTGAAATTGCTTTCCATGCTTAATATTATTTCTGTAATTGAATACAGAGTGTGACAAAGACATACAAAAATGTTTGTGGGGTTAATTTTCAGGCACGCATTTATCCAAAATTATTAATACTTGAGATGAAAGACATTCTGTTTCAGAGAATTTGCAGCAGATTATGGTATTGAATCATGTATTATCTAAAGGTGAACTGACAGAAGTGCAGTTGAAAATTAGTGCTATCTTACCTATCCACTGTAATTTTTTTTCCAGAGCTCCGTAGGTTCTTGCAATTCTTGCCACTGTGATTTCTCCTGTCCGCAGTGTGAGGGCATCAGCTGTTGTTGTATTGAAATAAAGATACGTCAACCAAGTATGGGTTCCTTTACCCAGCCGCTCACCCCCAAACCACTACCTAACACCCCTCAGCTCAGTACCCCCAAAACCGCATCACTTACCCCAGCCCCCAGTGTAGGGCAAGAAAAACTTTTTATTCCATCTTCATCTCAAGTTTTTAGAACTCAGGTGCAAGTTAACAGGGCCTTTGATGATTCTTATGAGGAAAGAGAAGGGTATTTACAAAGTCAGGGGACTGAGAATTCCAAATCAAAGCCATTGCAGGGCAAGAGAGAAATTAAGGTTTTTCTGGAACCAAAAGATTTAGAAAGTGGAGAAAAGTTCAGTAATGTTCAGGTGAAAGGGAGAAAAATCAACAAGAAAAAGAACCTTGCTGTAATAGATGACAAAATACAAAACTTGGAAGAAAATATAGAAAGAGAAACCAGACCTAAGAAGAAACCAAGAAAGAAAAAAGTTAACCAAATAACAGAATCAACGAAAATACCAAGTGAACTTTCACTGGGAGAAATCCCTAGACCTTTAGTTCAGTTACCCCCAATACATTCATCATCTGTTGAATCAAGCACCATTCAATCCAATCAAAAAACCCCAAAGAAGGTGACTCGGAAAAACAAACCAATCAAATCCAATGATGCAGAAAAACTGAAACCAAAGACTGGGTAATGCAATCTTAATCTGGTTTGGACTATGCATGAGGGATGTCCATGTACCCTGCATGAATATGTGAGGAACACATATGGATCTGTCTCCATAGCTACAAATGTATGATAATTTTCCATACCTACTTCATCGTTTCATGCCATTATAATCTAGCTTGGCCACCTTGTAGGCATTTAGATGGATCAAAACTACTTTCCTCCATATTTTCTTAGAACCTTTTAAGCAATGTGCATGCATTCCTTACTCTTACCTATAGCTACATGTATTGGAGAAAGTATTCTTTCATTATTCCTTTACCTTGAGAGCATGGTTGTGGGAATTTTCTAATCCTGCATGATTAAGTCATTTTCTTTCTCTTCTCCTGGCAACTTGTCAACTGGTTATTTCCAAAGAAATTACATGTATGTGACTTTAAGGTATTGTCCCTACGTTCTGTTTAGATCTAGTTAAACTTTAGAAAATAAGATGCAGTTTATAGTTTTTTACTATATACTTTTTTTACTACATGTATATTGATACCAAGGACTTTTACTCATGGCTTAATATACCGTACACATACATACCACAGTATAAGGATTTACTTATATTGGAGAATGGGTACATGTTCCATGATATATCTTAATTTTAGTCTTTTTTATATATGTGAAGAGGGGTGTTCTTTCAAAAGTGTGTGGTTTTTGATTTGTCTTCTTCTTTTAAATTCTTTGGGAAAATCAGCTATCAAATCATTACTGCAAATTTTAGCTATTGTTTCCTGATATTTTATTTTGTCAGTGATGTAGACAAGAAATACTTGTTTCTTGGCAATTGCTCTTGGAGTGTTTTAAATGCAAGAAAAAGCAGGTTTTATGCATTTCACTGTGGAAATTATTACTATTATTATATTATTTCAGATCTTTGAATTTATTAGTGGGTTGATGTAAATCTCCTTGTCACCAATACTTAGACCGAAATCCTTTCTTGATGTGTTATACTTTATCCCCCATGTTCGTAAGGATAAAATTTTATAAATCTTAAGTCTGATAACACATTTTTTCCTCCTCCTTTTGGTAGCTGTACTATAGCAAGTCTTGCGAGATTCATTGTGGAACAGAGGGCGCTGTGAACTCCTGTCGTGAGGTACGAAAGCTCTTATACATGTATTACAAAATACGGGAGGGTGTGAATCTACAAAATTGGAATAAGCTGAATGATATTCTAATAATATACACTTGTATGTCTCAAAAGTTTTCTGCATAAAATATTGGAATTTGAATTTCTAATTTATTTCCACATAGAGAATTTTGGGCTTTTTCAATTGTGAGGACTTTCTTATGAACTTTTCCTGCTATGAGGTATGTTGAAAAATCAATTTGGTTTTTTTGATTTTGTCAAAAAGAAAAAGATTTGCCCATTAAATAAAAGCAAATTATAAAAAAAAGCCAATTATTTGTAGGACTACATTCATGGTGAAAGTTGTTGCCATTACAGCTGTAAGAAATTTTGGAATACTTTGTGTGACCAAAAGGTAACATGTTGCATAAATTTCTTTACTTAATTGTTGAATAGAAGTTTTCGGGAAAAAAAAACACACATCTTCATTCAATCACTACTCCAGAGTTCAATGTCATTGAACTTTGTTTTTAAAAGTGTTTTTGTGCATCTGCAAATTAAAATTCCTTCCATTCCTTTGACTCGAACAAGTTGTTGTTACTTTGCGGGAGAGATGTGTAATTTTTGATTGGTTTTCTTCAGCAGTACTGTTTACTGACTCCATAGCTTATTTGTGTCTTACAGTCTTGTCCAAAATTATGCAGCTGTGTTGACTTACTGCGAGCACTTTGTAGAGTATGTCAAAAATTCTCTGAATAATTTAAACTTTTCATACTTTTTGTTTTCTGAATATTTATTGATGAGATTTACCTCCTGTTTGTAAAACTTGCATGTTTGTTTAAACCATATCTTGCATGCATTTATAGAGCTGTAAGTAATAATGGCGTAAAGTCAGAAATATTGCCTTCGAATGTGATCAGGTGAAGATTATTTAATTCCAGGAACTTTTTTAGGGATTGTTTGATATGGGTATAGGCTGCCATTGTTACATATAGTTCATAAACTTTTATTATATACATTTATTTTACAGGTTATTTGATTTTTCATATTTATTTGAAAAATAGAATTCTTTAATTGTGAGATTTTAAAATAAAAAACGTCTTAAGTGAAATTTAGTATATAGTAACTTTCCTTTTCATTTTACTGAAAATTCTCTTAAAAGGCTTTTTTTTACTGCAAAATCTATGAAAAATTTAATATCAATTTATTTTTACATGCATATAATGGTTAATCATTGAATAAATTGTATCAATTTTTATTTACTAGGTATATGTAGGAGTATCATTCATGAAATTGTATTTTGAATTTTCAGAGAGCAAGGAAGCAAAAAGTAGAAAGTGTTGATGAGGGTATTGAGGTGTCTTTGGAAAGCTTAGAATCTTATATCAAGAGTAAAAGAGGTCATCATCATGGAGACAAGCAGCGACCCATTAAAAGTGACTCAGAAAGTGAGATAAGTAGTTGTAAGGTTCACAGAGGTCATCGTCATGGAGATAAGCATCAACCTGTTACAAGTGACTCAGATACTGAGATAAATAGTCGTAAGGGTCACAGAGGTCATCGTCGTAGAGATAAGCATCAACCCGTTTCTAGTGACTCAGAAACTGAGATAAGTAGTCGTAAGGTTCACAGAGGTCTTCGTCATGGAGATAAGCATCAACCGGTTACTAGTGACTCAGATACTGATTTAAGTAGTCGTAAGGTTTACAGAGATCATCGTCATGGAAATAAACATCAGCCTGTAACTAGTGACTCAGAAACTGAGATAAATAGTCGTAAAGTTCAAAGAGGTCATCGTCGTGGAGATAAACATCAGCCCGTTACTAGTGACTCTGATACTGAAATAAGTAGTCGTAAGGTTCATCTTAAAATACCAAATCATAGAACCAAAGTACCTCATAATAATGCCGATGACAGCAATGATTATGTAAATGGGAGTCAGGAGGAAGAGGATGAAAGTGATAGTTATAGCAGTGTTAGTTAGATTTCAATTTTAAAAGTCATTTGTAAGCTCAGTGTTAGGATTGAAAGTATTCTTTAAGCATAAGAATACTTCATTTACATGTATAATGCTCATATTAAGTGCCAATGTGACTATTCCCTCCCTGTTTTGACATGCTTTTTCATTTAAGCAAGAGACTGCTACTGACAGATTCATTCAGTATATTCAAAATCCAAAATATAATGCAAAACTTAATTTCAAAGAGATTTTTTTGTGATTGGGAGAATTATTAGCCTTTGACATTTTAAAGAGGGGGCACTCTTCATTTTTATAGCACCTTTTTTAGTTTTATCTGCGATTCCATCCATTCTTTGAAATTCTCTACGCACTGTTGAAAACCAATATGAGCTAAATAGCTAATGATAATTTTATTTGTCAAGTTTACTTTATTGTTTGTGGTTTTATCATTGATTTTGGTTCAGTGTGCTTGTTTATAATAATGTTTATACATTATACTATGAGGTTACAATTTGTAATGTTTAAGATTTTTTTACCTGTGATGGAAATTTTTATATGGTATTGAATTAAGTTTCAGTGATATTATATAGTTTGTTAAATATTAACCTAATCCGTCCATTTATATGGCATAAATTTGATAGATATAAACATGTAGCTCCAAGTGATACACCTTGGTTGTAATTTTATAGAGACAACTGAACTTCATAGCAAAATCTTAGTGTTTCTATTGAATACTTTGTATATGAATGCCTCCATTTCTTATTTTGAGTCAATTTCTCAGATCTTTGGGTTTATATTTTATTTATTTTTTTTTTTAGTCATATCTTCGTCACATGTTTACTCCTTTATGCAGAAGGTATAGCTCATAGGATATCGTTTTTATATCCATGGTTGTGAGGCATAAATAAAAGGATAAAAAATAAATAGAATAAAAAATTATAATCCAACCATGAACCATATCCTATATTTATTTTATTTTGCCATAGATATGAAATAAACAATGTATGTATTTATTGAATTTTTTTTCATACATTCTGTTGATTTATTTGGTCAACAATGAGAATTAAAAAATAAATGTTTTAAAAAATCATTTTCTATAATTTGAAAAATACCATATGACAAGAAATAGATTGCTAGTAGAAGCCTTTGAATTTTTAGGTCACTTTCGACATGTTGGCTGTTATTATTTGTTTTCATCCATTGTCATGTGATGTTTAATTTGCGTCATTCATCAATCCTAAACTTTGAACATTTCCAGTTTGTTCTCTTTAAGAATTGAACGAATTTCAACCAATTTTGGCATATAGCTTCAATAGCATACCGGGTATACATGTAGCATATATTAGTACTGGGGTAGGTTGAATGAGTGGAGTACAAAACTTGTTTATTTCACAGTCCCTTACCCCTCTTGGCCTGTGTGATAGGGCTGAAACCATTACAGTAAATTTTACCTTTATATTTGATGAAGGATGCTGATTTCATGTCATAGGAAAGAAAGGTAGGAATAGGTCATCTGAGTGACTCAGGTGACCAAACTACGAGGCAAATATTAAGGAATGTACATAACCTCTTTAACATAACAGAGCCCACCCCAACTCCTGAAACCTCACCCAGGTGCCATGACTTTTACTATATTTGAAAAAACTCTCATTATCAATCACAATCTTCATTTAGCTTTATCAAGCAGAGTGCTACATGTACAGTTCTGCAGCTAAGTCCTCATCTGTCTCTTTGAGTTGCTTGTATGAAGAACATACAATGTACTCTTGCATATAGAATCAACTGGGAGATATAAACCTGGTATTCAGGTGATAATGGTACATGTATATTGTTACAAAAACAGGTTAAATGACAGAGAGACAAAAGACTATTTGCAACTGAGTCTCCAATTAAAATGGGGGAATAAAAATGGAAGTTGATAATAGCAAAGATAATTCATTTGTCGACCATATACATGAACCACAGAGTGGTCAGCCCATCACATCTGTCTCATATTTGGATACTTTAAAAACTAGAGGTACTGTGAGCAATGAGCTCACTAAATGATACCCCCCGCCTCCCATATGAATAAAACGGCAGTGTCCATTTTGCTCTGGAAAATCCAAAATATATGTCAGATCAAAAAGTAAAATAGGAGGTGCACAATGGCAATATGTAATAAAGATTCTGTGAAAGTTTCATCAAATTTCATTCAGTGGTATGAGAGGAGTTGCGGATAAGAGATGGGTACCCCAAAGCGTAACAGATGGACGGACGGACAGACAGACGGACGGATGGACGGAATTAACGATTACTATATACCCTCCCGCTTTTCAAGCGGGGGGTATAAAAAAGAAGAAGAAAATACTTAAATGGTTACCTAATCTCGGAGGAGAATCTACTGGGCTTGATATTTGATCTAACGCCCACAGACCAAAGAATCTCCACCGAGATAAATGGAAACCTAACAACAAAACTTTACTACAATCATGGTGAGTCAAAACTCCATTGTTTACTTCTCTAAAATGTATTTATGTATCTGTAAACCCCTAACACATGTATTCAGAGTTTATATTTTCTAGTTGATTCAATACAAAGAAGCATGTTATGCTATATATGTAAGAACAATTTCTAAAACAAGACAAGCGACTGACAAACAAGTTGATAAAACAAGGATATCAGAAGTAGTGTTTTAAGTTGAAATTTTGCAAATTCTATGGGTGATACAATGACCTTGTCAGCAAATACAAAATATCATGCAGTTATATTTACTGCTGGGCCATTGTTTACATATCAAATTGTCTATGAATTTTCCTGTTTGCCCAATTGTGACAATAAGCACATGGCAAATGTAAACCGGTTGACAGGGGTGGTTACTTTTTTTATAGCACCTGATCCCATCTGATGCTTCTAGCGGTCTGTATTAGCTTTGAACCCAATTTTCATTATTACATTGGATTTTTTTTAGGTTGATAACTGTTAGTTAGATTATATTTTATTCAAGTTTTCATTTTTTTCCTTTTCCAAGTTTTTTTTTACCCCCCCCCCTCGTTCCAGTTTTTGAAATCATTGTTTTCATTGCTTATATACATTTAAGTGGACAATCCTCCCCTTTAATTCAATGGTCAAACTGATATGCCTGATATTAAGAAAATGCATATATTGAATGAAAAAATATGTGAAAACTTAATAATTTAATCATTGAAAGAATGATTTATGTACATATAATTATGTCAAGAGGAACAGTCATTATACCCTGCTCTTCCTCTCCAGACCGGTAATATGATGTCATTGTATAAATTCATTTCTTTTTATAGAATATACTAGTAGATACATTACAAATTAATTGTTATTTTTCAATGGAAAATTAAATGTTTTTCTACTTTTTCCCTTGACTTTTGGAATGTGATTGAGCCCTTTCCTTAATTTTCTTGCGAGGACCAAATCGAATATGTCTTTACAGCACTGGCAGGTCTGAGAGTACAATGATGGTGAATACGAACGTAATAATTCACACACCGACAATAGATCCTACTGCTTTTGCCGACGGACGAGGATCCGCAACAGAAATCTTGGCGTTTTTCTGGCTGTCCAGGTTCTTTTTCTCCACCACAAGTTTCTTTTGTATGGCAGCAATTTTGTCCTGAAGTTGTTTTTGTGTCCTGATAATTACCTGGTTTTTTGTACGTTCACATGGACATTTGCATCCTGCGAAAACATAAGAAAGAATTATTGACCATATACAGTATGCAAAATAAGTTAAAGTTCAGAAAAGTTTTTTTGTCGCAAGAGATACTAGTAATGGAAAACATTTTTTGATAACATATGAGATTATACTGAAGGGGAATCACATCGGTAATAAAACAAACAAACAAAAACTCTTTCCATTTACACGAATAGCATAGGAGATGGTTTATTATTATTTAATCAGTAAGATAAATTGTCCATATTTTCGATTCCACTTTGATTAGGAAGTTAAATAAGAACATTTGTCAAACAAAATAAAAAAACATGAATTATGTAGATAACTTGGTCAGAGAAGAAGACGAGAAAATAAAAAATTCTACCACTTCGACCTCCAGGTGAAGAGTGTTCGAATTTGGCTCTGGTTGTCAGATGCGGAAATATTCACAAGTGGATTATGTTTTGATAGGTGCTGTCTTTCAATCTGTGTAAACTCTTGTATTCAAATCAAATGAACCAAATAATAATAGATTAATTAATAGATATATATCTTACAGCGAACAGTCAGACTCGTATACAATTGAATTCTGTATAGAGCCCCTGATTTCCACCCAGCGATGATTTCATTACTTACTTTTACAGTAAGGCATCTCCTTTTCCCAGGATGCATCGGATCCACATCCTTGCTCCAAACTACCATTTATAAACCGATAATCTTTGGCACATTTGAAATGCAGCTTCTCTCCTAATTTAAAATCCTGCGTTTCTGGTGTTCCTACAGGCACAGCATGTAGGCTGGCTAATTTGGACACCAGTGTGTCCAGATTGCATATTTCCGGGGAAGGACTGGTCGTACTTGTGGTGGGTTTCTTTGTTGAAGTAGATTTCTGGGCTGTTTTTTGTTTTGAGCTCGTTGTGGTGGTTGTTTTTGCTGTGAGCTCGTTGTGGTGGTTGAAGTTGTGCTTGGGCTTGAAGATGACGATGAAACTAAATATAATTTTGAATATTTTAGATGTAAAATTAAATAATTTTATTTGAATTGAAATAATTTAAATTAAAAGAAAAATACTGTATCATTTTTTATTAGACTACATGTATTTCTAGAGGTTACTAGATAAATGTTTTGCTTGTTTATAGGTCTATATACATAAATTTGTATAAAAAGAAATAATTTTAAAAAAAGGAAATTAATTCTTTAGCATTGAAAAATAGCTCTTTGCCATTTATTTGAAAATATAAGGTATATATTTTGAATAAGTTTGTAAACAATATGACTTCTTTAGCATTGAAAAGTACATTTTTAACATACCTTTCTTTGAATCATACCTGAATCAATATTGACCAAATATGTTTTAAATAGACTATACGTTAAGCAGTACACTGCATTGGAGTCACATCTTTATTTAAAAGGATTAGCTTGAAATTGAAAAAAACTTTAAAAATTACTCAACACAAAATTACCTCTGGATGTTTCGCATATACCCAATAAGTTTTCGATATTTAAAAATCAGCTAAAGTAACCTTTATTTCAGGAGAACTCAGCTCAAAGTACTGTTATAAGAGTAAATTCCTTCATCCTTCCTGGTGGATATCTACATCATTCTCAAAATTTCTACTCAAAAGTCAAACACCTGAATTTTATTTTTATATCTAAAGTAGTCTATTCACCAAAGAAAAGTGAAGATATTCTGTATATCATAATTACATAATTACTGAGTTGTTTATTTTGATTCATATCGAAGACAACAAGCAAACCAGCTGAAAATAGGAATAGAAATATTCCGTTCCGTTTTTTAAATCTCCTTTAAAGAAATATGAATTAGAAAAATGGTCAGTTTCCATCTTATTTTCAATTAGATGACGTAAAACAAAATTGAATTCTATTATTTTGACTGACATTGCATTCTTGTTCAGTGCAATCATGTGCAATCCTTATTAAGATCAGTTGTTACTTTATTAATTCTCATGAAAATAAATAAATTTACTTATCAATCAAAGATTGTTTATTTCTAATGGAGTTTTTCGCAAATTAAAACTATTATATAGTTGTTCATTTAAATACCCCAGTATGTAGTAATAGGTGACTTTATCGAAAAGTCCTTCGATATACTTTTTAATTGTTAATTTTGATTCATATCAAAGAAAACAAATATTTCAAAATTGTGAATTAAAAAGAAATCCCCATCCATATTAAAAAAAAACTTTTTTCAGAACTTGAGACATTGTATTCTAGCCCAGTGCAAAAAGTGCAGTTAATTTTCTATTTAGAAAAGCAGGTTAATTTCCTTGCAAATAAAAAAAAAATCCATTCGTTTATCAGGGACAAGTATTCCTTATAGATAGTTTTCAGTAGACCCAAATTAACAAGAGTTATTTCCCTTCGGCCGCCATATTATGGGTCAACATGCTCATATTCCTTCATAATTCAACCAACTTTAACTTTTTTTAATGGCTATTGTGGGTGGGAAGCATTGTTTTTCTGACAATTATACATTTGTTAGAGCCTCCTTTATTTCATAATGTTTATTCCATAACAATTTTCCCCCAAATATTTCTGCTACACCCTCGTATATTTGGTAGGACAAAGAGTGAGAATTACCTGTTTGACCCACAAGATGGCGGCCAACGTGAAATAACTCTTGTTAATATGGGTCTACTGAAAACTATCTACATGTATTATGGATGTTTTGCGAATACCAAACTTACTCGGTTGATGAAAAATCATCAACATGTAGCTCTGTCGAAAAGTGTTTCGACACGATTACTGATAGTTAATTGGATTCTTATCGAAGAGAACAAATATTCAAGAATCTGCGAATTAAAAGCAATCCTATCAAGTGTCCTTTTTTTAAATATAGAACACGAATATTGAAATATATTCAGTTAAATTAAAAAACAAATGGACTAAGTTTATTTCGATTGGACATTTAACAATGCATTACAAGGTATTTCCGTCGGAGACCCACGAGTGATCTTGTCTTTAAGATAAGTAGAGACGAGATCACCTTTGGGTTTCCGACGAAGTGTATTGCAACAGAGTGCAACGTCGTGTAATGATGTTTTCATTTAAACAAGCACAAGTATCATTTTTTATTACACCACCACCCAACTTCTTAAGACAGCCTATTTATACATTTTCCCCTTCCGACTGATTACAAGTTGTGAAATTTGCATAACGTAATTAGTTACAACGTTCGATAACTCAAATTATGGCCCTTTGAACAACGTAGATAAAACGATCTTTGCTCTCTGCTTCATATTATGCAAATACTCAGTCGATGCTATAATGCGGCAGTTCTGTAAACTATATAAAAAGAGAGCCTATTCCAAGCAATAAAGTGGCTATTTCAGAGTGACTAAAGGTAATGTCACGTGTAAAATTTCAATTCAGCTTGATTAATATGAGTTCATCTCACTGAACAAATAGTGCTAAACACACAGCAATTCTGAAAAGAGCGTTCTATATTGTTTTACATTGTAATTCGGGGCTTAATAGTTGTTTGATTGGGTTTAAAAATTTTTGTTCATTAGTCAATCAAACAAGTTCGAATGTTTTTCACTGTCTTGCATACCCCCAACAAGTGCATCACAGAGAGCTAAAGATCTGCAGCTTTGTCAATATATTTTTTTCGGAGAGCTACAGATCTGCAGCTAATCAGAGCAATAAAATATAATTTTGATATACAGTATTTTGTCGATATTATCGATTGCTAAATCAAATATACGTGTATGGAAACTCCAAATATGATTGACTATTGCATTTATTAAATAAATGCTCCAGTGCAGCTCTGTTGCAACCACTATTGAAATAATTATATCAATAGTGGTTGAGAGTGCATTTCAATAGCAAATATAGTTAGTAACCACTATTGAAATACGACCACTATTGAAATAATTATATCAATAGTGGTTGAGAGTGCATTTCAATAGCAAACATAGTTAGTAACCACTATTGAAATACGACCACTATTGAAATAATTATTTATTAGAGGGGAAGAGTGTATTTCAATATGATGACCATATGTTTCAACCACTATTGTAATACGACCAGTATTGAAAGAAAAGTTTCACCGCGCATTTTTTTTTTTTTATCCAAAATTTCACAAAATATTGGATTTTGGGTGAAAAATATATAGATAAATAATTAAAGTATATAAATTATTAAGGATAGTTTTTGTGAGGCAGAATTTTGAACATTAAAGAAGGTTTACAATTTCTTTATATTATAGTAATTTTTATTTGCATCAATTTCAATGAAATCAGACCAAAAAATATACCAATCCAGGCATCCATATTTTGTTTGTATCATCTGTACTTAAATGAAGATTTAGATAGTTATTGAAGTAATAATAATTTCAAAAGTGATTCAAATAATTATTTTGATAGTTGCTGATAATACTTCAAAACTAAAACCATAATTTTATCCTGTTTCAAAATCTTTGTTTCAAAAGTGAACATTATTTCAATAGTGGTTACTAACTACGTTTATTTGTTATTGAAATGAATCTCAACCACTATTCATATAATTATTTCAATAGTGGTTGTATTTCAACAGTGGTTACTAACAATGTTTGCTAATGAAATGCACTCTCAACCACTATTGATATAATTATTTCAATAGTGGTCGTTATTTCAATAGTGGTTGCAACGCAGCTCCACGCGTATTCGAATGAAGTTACAAAAATCTCTCTCTCTCTCTCTCTCTCTCTCTCGGTGCGCTCTAGAGTGGTTCCCCATCAATTTCATCATACGATAAACTGCTCTCTGTCATTATGTAACAAGAAAGGTTTCAAAGAAAGCTTAAGATGGATCATTTCATTGTTTGTTTGGATTGTTTGGATTTATGAGTGGATTGAGAAATTTAGTATATTTGAGACCGTATATACATTCATCACTTTAACATCACTTTGCTTCATTACGGTTTGCTTTGATTGAACATATTTTATTGTTTCTTATCCTTTTGATTACCAATAAAATATGTTCAAGTATAATAACACACACGCACCCTCACACAAACAGAGAGAGAGAGAGAGAGAGAGAGAGAGAGAGAGAGAGAGAAGCAGATTCAAGCTTTAGGATATCTTTGATTCGAAAGATTTTTAAGAATGGTTCCAATTCCAGGGTAAGGTAACTTACACGAGCAGGTCGATAGAGGTGATCCATTCCATTTATGACTTTGATATACACAAGACACAGTGAAGGTAACAGTTGGTATCTGTTTACATTCAAATGAAACAGTCATTTTGTTCCTTGTACATCTTACAATGTTCTTGTAAGTCCACACAGTGTCATCGTATGAGCAAGTGGCTTTTCCTAAAGAAGAAAGTTAGTAACTTAAGAAGTTAACGCCCTTTAGGAAAAAAAGCCGTGACATTCACTGGGGAATGCAAGTTTTGCATGTCCAATAAGGGTATAAGATAATTATATATTAGAAAAAGATAAAAAAAAATCTTTTCATAGAAGATTTTAGTATCAAACCAATTAATTTATAATTGTACACGTATCTATAAAATGAAAAAAAAATCACTTACTACAATGCAACGGAGTGCTGCCTCCAGAACAGAATGCATCTAAAACATATGTAGTATATTTAAGAAATGAATTTAATCTTCTAAAATCAACTTCATTTCTTATATTTACATTATTTTCTGATGTATTACCACAAATTACGCCATTCAGCTGTCATTTTTAAAGCAAAACAGTCTGCACTATAGTTTTGACGTCAAGTACGGTATTATGGCGTAACAATGGAGATATTCAGGCTCACCCATGGTAGTTCATGAGAAAATGACAATTATAATTTGTAAGGAATGCTTAAGACAAATAAATGTAAATATTTGAAAATGAGACACATTTGATTATTCTCATCATTATATGTAAAGCTATCTGTAAATAATAACAGCGCGGATCCAGGGATTTCATAACGAGTGGGGTGGGGGCGGGGGTAGAGGACAGGGGATCTGGGTGCTTTGAAGCCCCCTGCAAGTCCAGGGCAGAGCTTTCTAGGTTCAGGAAACTGAGGGATTCTTTCAGATAAGTTGTTTTTGTTTAGGATAATACAATGTTTAAAATTCAAAATGAAATTTCAAAAGAAAAAAATCAAACCGGGAGGGGGGGGGGCACAAGCAGCGCGCCGGTGATGGATTATTAATTTGAAAGTTTTCATTCATTATCATTTTTATGCAACCGGATCGATAGGTGATAGATCGGGGCGAATATTGTTTTTGTCCTGTCTGTTTGTCTGTTTATCTATTTGTCTGTCTGTTGTCAACTTTAACCTTCGCCATACCTTTTGAACCGTGAGAGATAGAGACTTCATATTTGGTATGCATACTACTCCACTAATCAGGTTCTTTCAAATGACACCAAGGTCAAATACTTTTGACATTGACTGTGACCTTTATGATAAAAATAGCTTTCTCGAATTTTGTTGCCGCCGGCCGCATAGTGTTTCACAAACACACCTTGTATTTTTTTTTTTTTGGAAATTAATAATCACTATCTACTTTGTTGGTATACAGTTAATCAAAGATAGTTGGATACGTTGGACTATTTGCATAACTGACTCCGCCCACATGTCCAACTATCATTGATGTCCCTGGCATACCCAACAAACTAAAGAATATTTCCTTATATTTCCATTTCATTTTGATTAAAATTTTAAATTCAGATTAAAAAATGTTGTCCAATAGATTTAAATTACACGAGACCTACCATATCAATGTCAATAGTCAAAACCAATTTACAAGCGTTGTCCGGTTAAAGTTCTTTGGGGTGAAAATAATCATCATGACATTCTAGTATTTCACCAGACAGACATTCTTTATTTCCTCTGCAGCAGAGATCAATACATCAAAATATTAAGTATGTAATAATATTTGAACTTTTAAACAAAAATGTGGAAATATGTACACAATTTCTCAATTACGCAAGTTACTGTCCATAATTTAAACACTATGTACATTATTTATCAATTTTTTGAAGTTTTATACTTCATGTAAGTGAGTGTTCATTTCTGTCATCATACGCGCAACGCCAGTTGCTACAGCAAGCATAAACATTTCCCACTCCTCCTCAGATACGATCGAACCACGTCTTGATCCAAGAATGGTATCAGCGATTACGTCGTCACTATTATTTGTGAGATTAACGTAAGATTGGACATTTATCGCGTTTACTATTTCGTCCATCAAGCTGTCTCTGCTAGCAAATAGCGTTGGACATTCAAGGAGAAAATGCAATGCAATATCACTTGTTGTACGCGTTCACCTCCTCTTTAACGATGTCGACCGAGAGTCTGATTACTGAGGCTAATTTCCATGTGTGTTTCGGAAGCTTCAAACCGAGTAGCCAAAGGGGATGAGCTGATAAATTTTCATGTATTTCTGCGTATCTGCGAAGCTCTTTTCTTTGGTTTAAGTTCTCCCTCCACTCACGTTCAGCAGCAGTATCAACTACAGTTCCTACGAATTGCTTCCAGGTGTATTTTGGTGGGACGTCACGATTCAAAAGGTACTCCCTGAAAAAGAAATCAATGTTGTATTCCCTCATTATGGAGTGAATATCTGCTATGAATCCACGCTTCGGTCTTGGTGTCGTCGAACCAAAAGAGCACAACCTTGCAATGAAAAGCTTTTTGTAGAATAGAGAATAACTTGATGTACAGAGTCTGTTCCAGAACATCAACTTGATTTCATCTATACTTCTTTTCATTTCAACCAGGCCAAGGGACACGGTGTTGGTGATCTTTGGTCAAATCCTTGCATTCGACGGGCCGCGTATCTCTATACAATTTCCAGCTCTTAGAACGACTTTTTAGAGATCACATCCCATAATTCGCATCCATACAAGATCGATGGCATGACAACTGTTTTCCACAATTTAACGCTGGTCATGGGATGTATACCCTGATCATGAACTCCTATGTTGATAAGCGAGTTTAATATGCGCTTGCCCTTCCTGCATGCTTGTGTGATTGCTGTATCGTTTCGCAACCTATCAGTAAGGACGACCCCAGCATAAACATTTTCTGAATGTAAGTTGATGTTTTCCTGACCAAAAATAAATGGTCTAGCCGCAGGTTGCTTTTGTCGCTTTCTACTAGAGCTAAAGAATAGAATACAACTTTTGTTAGGATTATAACGCAAGTGCCAACGTCTAGCGTAATTGTAGACAATATCCAGTTGCTTCTGGAGACCACTGGGAGTGTTGGATATAAGGGAAGTGTCGTCAGCCAGAATAACACTTGGAATGTGAAGGTCACACACACAAGCTCTAGTCGCACTGTACAATATGTTTTCAAATAACTTTTGTAGAACTGAGGTTAAGGTTATATCTCTATAGCTATTAGGGTCGAGCCTGTCTTTTTTTCCTCCTTTGAACAAAGTTATAGTAACTCCTCTTTTGAATTGTATCGGATATTTTTCGTTGTGTAGAATTGCGTTAAACAGCTCTAACAGGATTTCTAGAATAATGTCTTGCACAAAGCGCAAATGTTCAATGACAAGTTTGTCAAGGCCAGGTGCTTTTCCGTTTTTCATTTTCTCCATTGCTTCTGTAACCTCTTCTTTCCTTATCATAACATCACCAACTTTATCAAAGTTTCTATAGGATTCTTCCTTCATGTTTATTACAGAGAGTTCTACATGTTCTTCGAACCTTTGATCAAACAACGGGTCTTTTGTCTTTGCAGCAAGTGTTTTGTAGTGTTCGTACCATGCTGTTCGAATGATATCTGGATCGCGTATGATCACTCCGTTGATCCGAAGTTCATGGGGTGTCCATGATTTCTTATTCCGATTTTTAATAGTACGATAAAATAGACCCATGTCTATTTCTGCTGTTTTCTGTAGTTGATCCAGTTGTTCTAGTTCGTACTGCTTTTGAGCAACAGAAAGTGCATTTGTAAACTCCCTTTTTGCGGCTTTATATTCTCTGTAGGATTGGAATTCCATGCCACGTGGCCTATTATGTTCAATCCACACTGCTCGCTTTTGTCGATTAATAGCGTGAAGTTTCTTTACATCTCCGTATTTCCAATATGGCTTCAAATATGAACGATATCTCTTTCTAGGAAGTGATCGTTTGGCTGCGTTCAAAAAGACATTCGTTAGGTCCCCTATATACTCATCAAGTTCACCTTCAGTTTTTCCCACCAAATTTCTTTCTAGGTTCTGTAGCCCTTCCCGGATACACTGTCTATATAACAGCACATGGTCGTTTGTAACTCGTTTCCAGTTTACATACACGTCATCATCACTATTTCTCTTACGCCCATTAAATGTTGGAATTTTACATGGTAGACGTATATTCAGAAATATCGGAAGATGATCTGAACAGTTAAGATGATGATCATCTATTATTCCACACGAGTCAATAAAATCTTCCTTGTTCATTTGGATAATAGCGTGATCTATCATGGATGTCTGAGTTCCATTGTGTGCCATAAATGTGTAATCAGGACCATGCGACTTATGCTGACTCGTTACTGATACTAAATCTCGTTCGACCATGAAAGATTCAATAATGATACCTCTATCATTTGCATGGTAATGATTTTTCACTCCATGTTCTTTCGACAGATGTGCATTGAAATCACCGAGTATAAATACTGGCCCACATTCACTGTATGCGTCAAAAAGTTTCTCTACACTTTCTATTGATTGTTTGTACTCATCTATCGAAATGTTGGTCGAGGGTAGTAGCACTCCAATGACATATATCTCAATGTTTTCAAGCTTCACAACCGCTATTATCACCCTGTCCGTACAATCGTGTTCAATGGGAAAGACCTGGAGTTGCTTGCGCCACATCAAGGCAATTCCACCAAAGTCTGTAGATCTTGTACGATTTTCCAGTTCGATGGGAATAGGTTTGTCGTGGATACCATACACATTAAACTCATTGTGAATCGTGTCCAGAAAGGTTATTTGTTCAGGTAAAAGCCAATGCTCTGTAACGACAAAAATATCACTTTCGTCCAACAATTTTGTCAAATACGGTGTGCTATACATTATACCACGAGTATGCCATGCTTTTATGCGTATCATTGTAATAAGTATTATAAACAAATACACAAAGCACACTTTTGATATATGTCTCATGCAACTATTCATCACTATGCCTATAGTTGCGTTCGCGTTCAGTTTGCCAAGGCCTCACAAGTATGCCTTCTGGCCAAAACCCGTGTTCCAGTGCCTTATCTGAATCCTCTGA